GGAATAATCTGGAAATTGGCCAGCCTCTACAATCTGCCAACTAGCTTTGTGCAGTTTGTGGCAAGCTTTCTGAAAGACAGAAAATTCCGGGTCCGACTAAACAATCACCTTTCCACGCTAAGAACAGTGGAAGCGGGAGTTCCGCAAGGATCCCCCCTTTTCTCATTTCTTTACAATACCTACACAGCCGACATCCCAAAATACCCAAACACCAAAATTGCCCTGTTTGACGACGACACCTGTCTTTACTTTACTGCCAAAAACCCCAAATACATTCCGCCAAAACTTCAAAGACACTTAGACAAACTCACAGACTGGACAGACTCCTGAAAAATTAAAATCAACGCGGAAAAAACACAAACACTTATGATTACCACGAAACGTACAGACAAACTAAGACTCATAACTCTACATAACGACAACATCGTCTGGTCTAAATCAGCAAAATACTTAGGTATCTTACTCGACAAAAAACTAACATTAACCGAACACATCAAAGACAAAATCACCAAAGCAAGAGCAGCACGTGGAGCCCTCCACCCCCTTCTAAACCGAAACAGCAAACTTACCATCAATAACAAACTTCTCCTATCCAAACAAATTATTCGACCACAGCTTCTATACGGCGCCTCAGCATTCATCACGACTTGCAAAACCAACATAAATAAAATACAAACTGTACAAAACAAAATCCTTTGATCTATCTGCAGAGCTCCCTGGTACATACGAGACAAGGACATACACAAAGACTTGTAAATGGACACCATACCGGAATTCCTCACCAAGAAACACTCCAAATTCAAAGTCAAAGTCCTCAATCATTCAAACCCACTAATCCAAAACCCATTTAAAAACACCCCACCGCAAAATAACCAGGGCCAAAAATCCATCATGTCCCCCCTTAACTGGGAATAGCTACCCAAACTCCCCCCCCGCACAACCATATACCCTTATACCTCGAAACCCCCTTCTCCCCTCCACTCCTCTATCATTTCTCCCCGTCACCAAACCTAACCAGAGGTACAAAGGGCAAGCAATGCACGGGCGGCATTCTCAAAACACATAGTCCAATCGCACAACAAACTTAAATTCAAATAAGCCATTAAAGGCACTCACAAAAGAGCAAAAGTTCCGACGAACTAGCTCTAGCAGAAATATCAGCAACACAGGAA